GTGTGTGCTGTACTAGTACTGTACTCGTGCGAGTAGAGTATCGTACTAGTATCGTAATGAGCGAATGAATGAATGGTACGGCTGGTATCGGGCTGAATGCATTGTCATACTGGTTGTGTGGGTTGTTGCGTTTTCCCGATCTGGAAGGAGGGGGGATGAGTGTAGACTACAGTATGAGCATTGATTGGGAAGTGTGGGGATGAGATCGATTCTCCTTTCCTTCCTACCTTCGTTTATTCTTTGTTCCGTGAAGCTTAGCGCCGGGGAATAGCCGCAGCAGCGGGGGATATCATATCATGCCAATGGGTACGAATGATATTTCCCCGGATAATCCACCAAACTAGAACACCAGTATTATACCAATCTACTGCCGTGCCGTGCTGTTATCGGGGGGATGTAAATTATCCCCCAGCCCTCTGCGACGTCCACTACCGGATACCCGCTGACTAAGCTATACCGTACCGTGATATGGGAGATAACATACCGGGATGGCAGTGATCATCTACCGATACCGATAACCCGTACGGTTCAGTCCGGTAGTCCAAGTTAGGTAAAGTAAGCATCTCAAAACCATGATACCTACCCAAACCGCCGGAGACAACCCCCCCCCCGCCCCCTCTCTTCCCCCATATAATACCGGTATTTGCACTGTACCGTACGTATACTCGAGTACCGTACCGGTAGTGTGATACGCATTCCACCAAAACCAGCAGGAACACCCACACCGCAACCGCATCCGAGTGACAGGAGAAAAGAAAAGAAAGAAGGGAAGAAAAAAGAAAAAATCAACCAGCCAACCAGCCGACCAACCAACCAACAACCCTATCCCATCAACACGAACAAACAGATACGTGTTCGAAAGGACAAAAGGGAAAAAGGTGGAAGGGAAGGGAAGGGAAGAAAAGTGTTTCAATGCACGCTTTGCAGGCGTGCATTGCAGGCGGGTAGGCAGACAAAAAAAAATCTTTCTTGGGGGTTTTCGGGGTTGTTGTTGTTATTGTTTTCGGGATGAGATGGGATGGGATGGGGTGGGACGTGCATATACTTGTATCGATAATTACGGTAGGGTCGTGGTTTTTGGTTTGGTTTTGTCGGGGTGTTCAGTGCTCGTACTCGAGCACACGGTCCCATAAAGTGCGGACCGGCTGGGGGGGGGGTAGGTAGATGGGTGGAAAGGACAGTGATAAGTTACCGTAGCCTTACCTGTATTGTGCTCGCGTCATGCTATCGAAGGGGATAAGGTAGGGAGGGAGGGAGGGAGGGAGGAAGGGAAAGAAGGAATACAGTACCGTACTACAGTACTCACCATACAAGTGCGGTAGGCCGAGGGACCGAAACACGGGTTGCTGGGAGGGGGAGACGTTGGTTTGGTACGATATCGTAGGTATTATAGGTACCGTAGCGTGAAGCGGGCTGCCCGTGGGTCTGTTGGGGACGGTACGCTACGGTACCGTATATACAAGTACCGTAATGTATGATATACCATATCGTGGCTCTTGACCGAGTTCTTCGACGTTAGCCGTGTTGGGAAGCGTGTGGGGTGTATTATACAGTACGAACTGTGCTTTACCGTAGAGGTACCGGCGGCGTGCTTGGTGGCGGGTGGGCTGGATGCGTGGGGACTGTCATCAAAGTACGAGTACCGTACTATACAATATCATAGAACAGAGTTGAATTGATAGCCATCTACTGTACCAATACAGTATGATGCTAGTGCTTTTTTGTTTCTTCCTCTCTCCCATTCCTACAGTACGGTACGACAATTACTGTATCATACTCAAATATGACACCCGTACCGCACCCTTTCCCCTGCCTTCCTTCCTTCACCCACGCCTTGCCTTACGGTGCCGTACCCCCTCGCATCCCACTCCTGGAAACCCCCATGGCATTTGCGGTACGGCACTGCATGTCAAAGGGTAAGCTAAATTGTTTTTTTTTTCATCACCCTTTCTTCCCACCGCCACCGAAATACCGTACCTGCCGTACTCTACAAGTACTCGAGTACATAACCGGGATATGGGGCGGGGGGTGGGGTGTTGAAGGACCTTTTCTTTTCTTTTCTTTTTTTTTCACCCCCGATTGCAAGACATTTCTGGTGATGCACGAAAGGAGAAAAAAAAAGGAAAGGTTTGATCGTGTCCTGATTAGATTCGCTCATTGGAAGAGGCAGGGAAGGAGGAGGGAGAGAAGGTTTACTCTCCCGAGTATGTTGACCGTGCAAGTATCGCAGCTACTGAAAATTAGCTGGATACGAGTAGTAGCAAGCGAGCAAGCAAGCAAACTGCCGGTATTGGTGAGGGACGTCTCAGCCAGAGTGCTCTGCCAAGAGAATATCGCACAACTTCACCCCCGAAGGCTTTCTAGCTCCTCGAGTACCACTCCGACGGGAACTATGGCTCTGCCAGACGACGGGTGGATAATTCTCGACACGTCAATACCGGTGGAGGAAAGCTACCGTAGGGATATCTCGAGTTTTCAGAGATATCGCCGTCTAGGGGTTGGGTCAAATCTCTGAGAGGAGTAGGGGAATATCCGGGACACATAAATTGCCGTTATTTTCCTTAGCAAGAACGGTTAATAGATATATTTTCCGGGGATTAAGATGTGGTTATGCCATGCTTGGCAAATTAACATGATGTTGCCAAGCCAGAAATGAACACCCACCTTGTTTTGGCCATAGAGGACCCTCACCATACTTTTTACATACCAGTAGGATGCGACTTGATATCGGGGGGGGGGGGGGGCTTGCACGATAGTTGTCAAAACACCGGTACCACAGTAGGGCAGTGTGGGCGCCGACGGGTAGTACTCTCTCCGGGGGGATTATCGCACGCAAGCGGCGGTCAGAACAGGATCAAGACATGACAAGACAGATATGTACCTATTTGCTGTGCATTGCCTATAACTAGCCAACTAACCAACTAACCCCGCGACGATGTGATAGAGGCGCACGGTTGGATAGACAAATGGATAGGAAGAGAGAAGAGGTGCGATAAAGGAGATATGTACCATATCATAAATGAATTTTATCATGGAAGGGTAAGTAAGCAAGTACGGTAGGGGGAAAAGGAAAAAGATGCAAGCTCCATCACAGTTTTCCGTGACAAGAACTACATTAGCAGAATGTATGATGGGGAAGAGAGAAAGGGGAGGAAGAGAAAAACAACACATTCATCTGCTGCAGCCGTAGCGGTAATAAGGGAACTGCCCTATCATATCCTATCCTATCCTATCCTATCCTATCCCCCTACCCTATCCAGTTGGATTTGCCCTTTCCCTCCAGCAGGGCGTGACCCCCCGTGGGAGCCATGTGGATGATTGAATGAATGGGTGAATGAATAGGATTATCCTGGCCCTGCCTACTATCGTACTCGTACAGTACAGCGGAGACTCGTTGAATCCACCACCTCCTGGTGGCCTCCAATCTCCGTAGTCAGAGACAGCGTCCTGGTTAGGAATAGGGTTTTCCGGATGCGGCATGGCTTGGGTGAGCTGACTTTACTGGATCTCATTAACCGGTATTTTACTTTGGTGACATGCCCCGTTGGGCCCATTGTGGCCTGGTATAGTGATTTGTGCAGCCTAAGGTGATAGCCCATTGGGTTTAACGAGTTTTTTTTTTTTGCTGCGCTTTTTCTTTCCTTCCTCTCCTTATTCGGGGTGGAGGTTTTGCCCAGCCTGGCCTTTGTGCCAGAGATTTCCATCTCCTTTTTTCCTTTTTCCCCAAATCGATGTTTTCTTTTTCAACCTACCGTACCGGCGTGCCGTTTGCTGCACCGTATCCCGAGTATTTGGGAGATGAGGAACGAATGGGAGAAAACCCATCTCCCTGAGGGCGGTGTCTCTCTAAAAAAAGGAATAGACGGGTAAAAATAAATAAATAAATAAATAAAATGCTCGCAGGCTCCATGTAGCGTAACGAGGAAGGATAAAGCTTGCATTGCCCTATTCCGTATTCTGGACGAATGCCGGAGGAATAATTCGTCTTGGCAGAAACGGACAACGCAGGGAAAAGGCTTTCTTTTATTGCTTCGTGGTTTGCTCTTGCTGTGCACTCATGTATGTACGCATGTATGTGTGTGTATGTGTGTGGTATGTGGGCATGTCACAAGGTCGGGGGGAGATAACGAAAAATAACCGGAAGGGCCAGGAGAAGGTGAGAATGAATTGTTCCACTTGGTCCAGCATGGGGAATGAACGGGTGTGTGGATGTATGTATATGTATGGATGGGGATGGGGTTTAGAGTGTGTTGTATGGTATGATTATTATGGAGATGGCGATGGACGATACAAAGTAGAGGGCGGGCAAGAGGCTGGTAAAAGTAAGGCATACATACGGTTGGCACTCACGCAAGGCGAGTCAAAAAGTCAAAAAAAGGGTCAGTCAGTCACTCAATCAATCAGTCAGCAAGCAAGGGAGTAGCAAACTGCCAGCGATACAGATAATATGGTGCTGGTAGTGGCAGCTTTAACGGGCAACGGGGACGGGGGCAGGTTTCGAATGGACTGCCAGCACATTCGAAGGTGCACGACGTAAGCAAATACCGCTCTGGAGTGGGACCATCCTCTCTCCCCCGGACCGGTGAACTAAAGGAACACTTTGAGGGAGGAAAGAGGAAACCATTTCTTTTCAGAGTGGAATCGGGGGCACGGTGGTAGGGTTATGAAGGAGTTGTTGGGGTTGAGGATGAAGGGGAGGGGGGAGGGAGAGATGGAGAAGGAGAAAGAAGGGTGGATATGGTATCGTATATACCGGACCGGTACCGGTATGTATGTGGTGCGAGTGTGTGTGTGAATGGTGGTGATGTGTGGGTGTTGGTGTGATTTCTGTTGACCTACGGTCGGGACAGGATGGTTCTTCTTCGCTTCGTTGGTGTGCGAGTGCCGCACCGGTGCCGGTAATTGTGGAGAAGGGCCAATGGCATGGGTTTCAACTTTTCGGGCAAACCGTTTTTGCCATAGATCTATTCTGTCCTGACCTGATTGAATAGAATTCCGGCAGGGGGAATTTTAGTTGGGTTATCCTCGCTGCCGCGGTCCATGTCCCCTCAGATAAAAGCCGAGCCCCACTGGCGGCCTTTCAAAGCGCACTGCGGATCACAGTTTTTTCCATCGAGGACGGGGGGGCGGTGGGAAGACCAAGGATACTCTGCATGGCTTGGTTCTTGGAGGAAAGCTTTCCATTTGTTGAACTCGAGCAAAGGGACCTGGCAGATCTGTTCCTCCGTTTTAGGTAGTGACCGAGGGTGCACAGGACGGATAATGTGTACTTTCCAGGAACTGGGAGGGAGGGGCGGTTTGTCGAAGTGAGAATGGCCATGGGTGATGCGAGTGGGCGAATAGGATAGATAATGATGGGGGAGGGGGGATGGTGAGAACGAGGGGGAGGGGTGGCATGTGTTTTTTTTTTCCCTCCATTTTTTTGTCCTCTCTTTTTGCCTTTTTTTCTTTTGCTTTGGGGGTTTTGTTTTGATATTGGATGTTATTATTATTATTTTCTCTTTTTTTTGCCTTTCCTCGGCTCGCAGCGAGTGGCTTGGCTGATGGATGGATACGGCAGCGGGGAAGGAATGGGCGTGGATGGATATGGATCATAAATTCTTGATGAATGCATGGGGTTGGGGTTGAACCACCATTGCTGTATCTTATTGAAGGAAGAGGAAGGGAAGGAGGGGGAGGAAGGGGAGGTTGACGGGGGTGGTTGGGGTGTTGCTATGGAAGGATGGAGAGAAGAGAAGGAGAGGGTGATGATGGTGGGTTGCTGGATGGGTGCAATCAGGCAGGGATTCTTGGTGTGGGTGATGGAACTCAAGGCCAAACAAATCAGAAAAGAGGCCACGGCTACGGCAACAGCCACACCTCTCTCACTCAACTCTCCGAGTCCGGCCCTCCCACCATTTCTCGAGATCTCCCATACGGTATCCCTCGTTCACTCACACGCTCACTCACTCGCTCACCCAGAGTCACTCTCCCATTCACGCACACACACACGCTCACTCACACGCTCACTCACACTCACTCACACACTCACTGCACCACACAGTCTAGGGCTCCAACAGGATATTGTGAGTTACGCATCCGGTCTTCTTCCTCAGAGGTTGGAGGCAAAGGGGCCACCAAACAAGGGTGTCCGTGTGTGTGTGTGTAGGGAGTTCCAGGAGGGTAACGCGCGCTGCGGCGGCACGCAAGTCAGCAGTACGGTACTCGTACTCGAGTATGATACTCGTACACTAGCCTCCCCACCTCTTTCTCGAGCTCCCCGATTCCCTCGCACCTTCACCTGAGCTCTCATGTCGGGGGCTGCAGAATCACCAAGGGCAACGGGCAGCTTTGATTGCTGCCTCCTGCACCACGGGCGTAATGCTTTTCTTCCTCCATCCATGATCCCATCCCTCGACCCATCTATCTGCTCCCTCCTCCTACCTTCCCGACGGTTGTCCCCGGACATGAGTTGGTGAGAGGGTAAAGTGTGAGGGCACAAGGGCACGAGAGCATATAACAAGTGTTGCTCTCGAGCAAAATGGAGAAAGCGCGCGCCCACGGGTACTGGGTGACGGGAGACCTCAAGCGAGCGAGCGGGCGAGGCATCGTTTCTTCAAAGAGACGGAGGCAGGCATACCATACTTGTACTATGGTTGAGACACCTGTGCTCGACCAACCCGTGCCGGTATTTACGGTAAGCTAAGTAAGCCAGAGCTCACACAAATGTACGCACACACACCAGCACTCACACACACACCACCACCCCCTAAACATTCACCTACGAGTACCGTACCTTCTCTTACTGGTGGCATACCATGCGCTTTCAGGCGATCTCCTTCTCCTTCGTCGAGAGCGAGCCAGAGGGGGAGAGTTGTCTGCGTCTGTGTCGCTCCTTCGCTCGCCATCGTCCGCCCACCACCCCTCCATTCCTTGCACCACAACCTATTCCTTTCTTTTTCTCTCTCCTTCTCTTTTTTGCTTTCTTTCTTTCGGGACTTACTCCCTGCTGCTCTCATCATCGCTGTCACCTCACTCCAACCCGGCACCTCATTCGGTCGCGCGTACTCGTTCTGCCACTTACCTTCCTTCCACTTAATCCCCCCCCCTTCACCCTTCTCACTCGCCTCACTCACCCTTGGTGACTTACTCCTTCCCTCTCTCGTCTCTGTGCTGCAGCATCTTCTGGGGAGAGAGAGACATCCAGAGAAATAACAGACGCTGCGTACGTCCTCGAGCCCAAGCTGCCCAGCACAGCAACGGTCCAAACCCCTTTCACCTCCCTTCTTTCCACTCTCTCCCCCTTCGCCACTCGCCCCCCCCCCCCCTCCCTCCCCTCCGTCCTCTGGTTCCTCCCTCTCTCCCTTTCTCCCTCTTCCTTCCCCTTTCCCACCCCCCGCACTCCTTCACCCTCGGCCCCCCTCCAACACTGCCAATTTCGAATAATTTGTTGCTGTCTCTCCGTCGCGCCCCTCCATCTATCTTCCCCCCCCTCCTCCCTCTTACTTCTTACCTTTCCCCCCTTTTCTTCCATGCCCCTCCTCTCTTTCAAAAATCCTACCTATCCTTCATTTTGTCTTTCGCTCCCTCTCACTACCCCGCCGCCTATACAACGTTCATCGTCTCTCTAGCTATCATCCCCTCCCCCTCCCCCTCCATTCCCCCTTTGCCCATCCGCCCGAGAGCGTGCCTTAATCCTCCTACCTCCGCCTCGTCGTCGTTAAATATCCCCCCTCCTTCATTTTCTACCCAGGTACTTTCGTTTGTCGGTTATATTCCTTCAGAGGGTTAGCAGTCAATGAAAGGACACTTCCCCACAAGTATACATTTATAATAACCCGGATTCAACAATACCAACCATAATTTTCGGAATACCGAGCGATTTCAACATCGATCCCGGCTGTCGCAACATATTCGCTTTCACAGGATAATGCACGAAGTCATGACCGTCCCGACTGCTGCAACACAGTCGACCAAGAAGACTGTTAGTGTTCAGGAGAGAAAGTACAAGTGCGCTTACTGTTCAAGAGCGTTTAGTAGGTCAGAACACAGAAGCAGACATGAGAGATCACGTATGTATTCTCGCTATTTTCCCCTCCCCGGGGATTTACTCGGTTCTCTCCTTGTACTGACTTGGGGAATAGATACTAAAGAGCGACCGTTCAAATGTCTCAAGTGCCGAAGCACCTTCGTGAGGCGAGATCTCCTTCTACGGCATGATCGTACAGTCCATGCAAAAGATGGGGGCGTGCCCTTGCACAGCGAAGTTAAGAGGAGGTCTACCAAGAACTCGGCTTCGGCCGGCCCGGCGAAACCGTCGATAGCTATCGAGCAGGCAGCGATCGAGCAGTTGGAGGGTGATGGGGGCATGGTTGATTTGGAGACAGCTGCTGCGTTAATGACGGAGTTACATTATGCCGCAGCGGCAGCTATTGTGGATCATGAACAGGAGATGCTGTTGCAAGAAAAATCCAGACGCTCGATGTCCTCGAATCCTGAGTCTGTGTTCGATCCCAATGTGTCTTACGCGTCTGGTGCGATTCCCGTACAAAACATGTCCACTTGGGATCCGCCAACGCCTTCTTCTACAGCGGGCCCCGAACCGCCCAGAAGCCACTACATGTCCCACTCACAGTCCTCGCAAGACTCTTGTGTGTCCTGGAGTTCAAACAGCCTGCAGATACCTTCATCGGCCAGTAGCGTCATGGAGCGGTCGCTTTCGGCTGATCCTGGACATAGCGCGACCGTGACCCCGACATCGTACGCCTCGCCTCACCCATTGTTCACTGGCCCCTCTTCCCCTGCAAACCATAGTGGGTCGAGCGCTTCACAAGCAGCCCCTCCACCAGCCCCGCCATCAGTAGATAGCGATCATGAACGCAATATGGTTCTAGATAACATTCGTGAAATCGATGAAGAGCGAGCTGTTCTAGACAAATTCCGCTTGCCTAGTAGAAGTGGTTTGAATAGATATCTAGCTGCGTACTTTAATCTTTTTCACCACCATCTCCCGTTCCTGCATACAGGATCGTTTAACCCCTCCACGCTAGCCCCGCCTTTGTTGTTGGCTGTGTTGTCCATCGGAGCGTTGTATACCTTTGAAAAGGAGCAAGCGTAAGTCCACCCGTCATCCACCCTCTATCATCATCACCACGAGCCCAATTGGAAATCTGACTAACTCTTCTGAAACAATCTTCTTTATTTATAGTTACACTCTCCATATGTCATCCAAGGTTCTTGTGAACAATTTCATTGCTCGCCATCATGAATTCAACTCGCGCAATTGTCCGCTATGGACCACCCAAACGCTGCTGCTCAATATGGTCTTTGCCAGCTGGAGTGGCGATCCAAAGGGTTTGGATTGGGCTTGCTCTATTAGGGATTTACTCGCTAATGTAATTACGATGCACCCCCGGTTATTGGCTTGAAGCGAATTTACTAATATAGACTCGCAGATCGTTGCTGGTGGCAGATACGAACTGCAAGTCCGGATGGACCAACGTGGGGACGAGATGCCTACTCGTGAGGAATGGATCCTCGAGGAGGGCAGCAAGCGAACATACTATGCCATCTACGTCTTCTTTGGTCTCTTGACCTTGACATACAACCACATACCGGCCATCGCCCATGACGAGTTCGACACACTTTCTCTGCCTTGTTCTGAGACTTTGTGGAATCTCGATGGCTCCGATGACCAGGCCTGGAGAGAGCACTTGTCCAATGCTTCCATGCCCACCTTCAAGGAGGCACACACCGGCCTTAACAATGGCGAAATTCCTCAATATAGCGTGTTTGCCGCCCGTGTTATCATCAATGCTCTGTTCCTTGATGTGTTGGAGCTCAAACGCAATGTCGAGATTGTTGAGAGTGTTGTCTCCGAGTATCGCGAGAGACTCAGTGTCGCGCTAGAAACCTGGCACAGAGCCTTGGAGTACTGCACACCGGAGACGATGATCGTTTCTCTCACGGCCCCTCAGAAAGGACATCCTTTGGTGTTCAACAGCATGGCTATGTACCGTTGCGCCATGGCAAGACTCGAGGTGGATCTTGTTTCTATCCAAGAGGCTCTTCGCTACCATGTTCCTGAAGATGTCGCTTCTGTCATGACGTCTGCATCCGGGTTAATTCCTCGATCGGAAGCAATGACGAAGGTCATTCAACAGTGTTTTGAATGTTTTCAGATCCCCGCGTTGATGGGAATCCGCTGGGTTGCGAGAACTTCTGCATTGAACTGGAGTGTAGAGCACCCGCTCTGCGGCTTTGAGCTGATGTTGATTCTCAGTCTTTGGCTGTACCGGCTTGAAGAGGAGATGGAAACCGACCCACCTACCGAGGAGGAAGAGGCTATGCTGACCAAGGTCCGAAATCTGTTTGATGACGATTCTGTGGAGCTGTATGGATCCAGACTCAGCGCTGCGGTTGCCATGGTCTGGGGAGGCATGATCGATGAGGTTGTTGTTTGGGGGTAAGTGATGTTTCTATTTCCACTACCATCCGGTTGGAATGTGCTGACATATGCTCTCTCTAGAATCACGAAACTGCTGGGTGAATCATTTAAATTGCACTCGCACACTCTTGCGCTTAGCGATGACATTGGGATGACTTCGTCCTCATCACCGTCCTCATCTGCCACACCCGAGGCAGAGGATTTGGACAGCGAGATGGAATGAACCCGCTCACTTCCTTTGGGAAGAGCAAAGACAGTTGAGCCACGAAACTATGCGGATGATTAATCAAACCTCTATTTATGACCGTCACGAAATCTTTTCCTTCATATCCTCTTTTTTTTCTTCTCATCTTCCCATCTCATTTTATTAACATTTCGTTTCTAGTACCTTTTTTCCCGAGACTATTTTATTAACCCCTTCCGCGATTCCCCTTTCTTTTACCAAAAAAAAGACAAAAAAAATTCCGATCGCCCCCTTTTTTCTTTTTCCCTGTTTAAAAAAATCATACCTGGCTTTTGTGAATAGTTTTTGTTCTGCGTTTACTTTTTGTTTTTACCCCACATCTCAGTTAAATGGCGTCTCCGGCTCGGTTCTGTCTATGGTTTTCAGCATGGATTGAACGATTAGTTTAATAACCTTTCCTTCTCCTTTCTAGTTTTATCGGACGGTTTTTTGAACAAAAGGTTTGTTTGGTTTTATTCGCTTGTTTTTCCCCTCTTGCACCTTTCGCAAAAATGAATAGGGCTTTTTATTATATCCAACTATTTACTTGTTCGTCTCGGTTTTGAACTTTGCTCTTGAATTCTTTGTTTTGAGTTTTACACGCGAAAGATCGGTTGGGGGGTTTAGTTTATGTTTTTTTTCCTCTTTTTTTCTTTCCTTTGGAAATTTGGTCGTTTGATTTTGAGCTTGCTTTAAAATAGGGTTCCGGATTTGGACAGGATGGAATGGAAACATTTTTTCTATATACTTATTTATTATCATCTGTCTTTTATATATATCATAACTGTTTTTTGTTCTTCCCTTCATACCGCTCTTTTTTCTTCTCTCCACTCTCTATTTCCTCATTCAAAAAGGGAGGAACATTCGCGACCAAGGCAAAAACAAAAACAAACAAAAAAAAAACTGGCTGGAAACTCTGGAAAGTTTCCACTCCATGATGCTATTGCGGGGAGGGGGAGGGGTTAGTTTAAAATAATTTATTTTTTAATTATTGAAAAACCACGGCAAAAACCAAAAATAAAAAGCCAAAAAAAAAACAGAAAAACAGGGGCAGACTGAACTCTACCGTACTACCACCGTCTACTCATCCGCGTTCAAGTGCCCCGTGCGAAGGAGCTGTGAACGAATAAGAAAGCATCGCTCTCTCTCTCTCTCTCTCTCTCTCTCTCTC